TTCAATATTTAAATCCTTGATCTTCTCAAATAGCTTATCACCAGTTAATAACAAAGATGTCTTACCTTCTTCTAGATTTTCATTGAATGCTTTTCTCAACCATTGATAATGATGTTCTTAGTGTAAAAACCTACAGTTCCCGAGGTAAACATTCTTCATCCCATATTGAATCACCGTATAATGTATTCCCTCTTTGCTAATAGGGTATCCAAGTTTTCTTTTAATGCTATACCCTTACAAATTACCATAAGCAGGAAAGTCATTAATTGTATCAAAGAGCATAGCTCTTAAATTGAATATTTCTTCTCTATACCTATCATATACCTCTATATTTAACTCTTACATGATCTTCAAGCCATCAATTAGAGGAGCCAAATATATGCTTATGTCATTTTCAAGTTTCTTGGGTCTTACAATTAGGATGGAAACCATCATATACTTGCGCTTCATGTAAAGCTATGAAAGAAGGTTATAAATCATCAAAATGGCTAGCCATGTGCTGTGGCTACTGCTTTCAAGCCTATAAGGATTCATCTTGTCAATAGATAATATAAGGCATAAATTCCTACTCTCCTCCCTGAATTCAGGGTACTCATAGTTAATATTTCTCTATTGTGAAGAATCAGTAGAGTGACAAAGCATGTCATCTTTTATCCTTTCATCCACGTGCTAGGTTAAGTTTTTTGCAACTTCTGCACTACTATACATGCATCTAAATCTAGGCATAATTGGAAAATACCATAGTGCCTTCGCAAGACTTGATCCATTCTTCTTGTAGTGTAAGGCATTACGCTTCAGACACTCGGTTAACGATGCATATTCATTCTGAAATAAAAGGCAATCATTAGGGCACGCGTGTATCTTTTCATAACTCATGTCAATTGATCACAGTACTTATTTTGCGTCATATATTTGACAAGAAAGCTCATTTTCCTTAGGAAGTAATTCTACTTTCAAATATCTAAGAAACTTAGTGAAGCTCAGATCACTCTATCCATGTTTTGCCTTTATGTTATACAATTTTAACACTGTTGACAATTTTAATGCATTACAACTAGCATACAACAGTGTCTCTGCAACACTTTTCAACTTCTCAAACATCTTTGAACAATTCTTGAGGTCTTCTTCAACTACCTTAGCTATCTGTTCGAGACAATCTTCCTCAAGTATGTATTGTTCACTGCAAGTGCATGGGTCGTAGCAAGTAATATAAAATGATTAAAGTATCGTTCCCTCAAGAATTTATTTAAAAACAATGATCAAAAAGAAAATTCGATCAAGTTGAGCTAAACACAATTAGGAAAAATTTGATCTTGCAAACTAAATTAATACTAGTAAATAAAGAAAACAAATTGATTCACAAACTTCAAGCATAAATTTAAACCTAGGACTATTTATCCCCCTTGTATCTCATAATACCAAAATCACCTCCTCTCCTAAATGCTTTTAATGAAAAATAAGTGCTAACCTAGAGTTCTAAAAATACTTATACAAGCTCTCTCAAGTCATGAATAAGTGTTTAGTTAAATTAATTGCTCAATCTCTTGTTACAATTAATAAAACTCAATTTTTAGCTCCAACCCTAATGAGGCTATGCAAGGCTAGCAAGTATATCTCTATCTTACTAGCAAAACCATCCATTCAACATGCAAATATCAAGTCTTGCACTATTTTACCTAAGTTCTACACTTAACTTAGCCCTTCATCAATTAAGTAAACGCAACATCTAAATGGTGGTCAATCACTTAAAAGCATTAAGGAAATAGTAAAATAAACACATATATATCATTAATCACAAAAATAGAGAAGGAACATAGTGTTAACCCATACAAGGGTTTCAAATAACCCTAAAACAAAGTATCTAGCTACTCATAATCATTCAAAAGATACAAATACATAAAATATTTGAACCCTTATCAGAATATAAGAGAGGAAAGGGAAGAGGAATAGAAAAATTAAAGAAAATGAGCTTTAAATTCTTCAAAACTCCATTCTCTTGGACCTAACTCTTCTGATGCCTAAACCCTAGCACACAAAGCTCCAAATGGTTGCTCAAAGTCTGAAGAATGCATTTTGGGTTGAGCTCTCAACATATATATGTCCTAGCCAACTAATTTTTGATAAATAAAATGCATCGTTTTTCTGACAGTGGCGAAAGTCATGAACGGACTTTCTGACGACTTTGGTATTTTTAAACTATTTTCACAATTAATGAAATTTATCCTTTTTGCATTTTATTTCTTCATCCAAAAGCCTTCCAAAAACATCAACAAAGCTCTAGAAATGTATCTAATCAAATCTTAAACTAAAATAACATAAAATTAGGCCAAAAATATTAAATTAAAGCTAAGAAATCAAATCCAAAGTAAAATGCACATTTTCCTAATTTGGGCAATAAAAATATATACAAATGAGGCAAAATGGATTAAAATATAAAGAAAATATGATGAAATGACATGAAATTCTTGAGGTTAACAGTGTACATGTGTCGAAATCATCAGGACATGAAGCACAGCTTTTACTATGCTTTTCGCTACAACCAATATCATCCCTTGTCTCACTATGCATTGTCCAACACTTGTAACTTTAATCCATCCCATTAATTACAAAGTGTTCTTCATAAGTATCTGGACTAACTCGCTTTACAAGACCGCACTTTAAACACAAGCAAACAATCCTAGTAGGGTCCTCCACATGTTTAACTGCAAGTTTAATAAAATCCGCCACCCCATCTCAATATTCCTTGGATAGACGATTGGTAGATATCCATTCCTTATCCATAATTCCTAGAAAGATTAAGAGCAAAATATGATTAGTGACTTTGACTACTCCTAGATAGTGGGAGAGTTAGATACAAGATCAATAAGGCAATAAGTCACTAACCACATGCTTGCACATTCCCTCTTTAATCTTATTTAAAACTAATAATTATATTTTAATGCTAGCCATTGAAATAATTTTGGTAGCATTATGACTTAAAAAAGAGAGTTTCCCAAGCTTCATCCCCTCTCTTTATTAATCTAAATGACAACAGTAGCAGAAATGGAAGGTGAAAAGGAATCTAGAAGGAAATTTAAATGAGAATACTTGACAATTATTTCAAAATAACTGTCAAGTATTACATATTTAACACTTTTTTAAAATAACCGTCAAGTATATGCTAGATATACTTGATGATTATTTCAAAACAAATGTCAAGTGTGTGTATAATTTTATTTTTTTGGAAATTATTAATTTGATGTTTGTTTATCCAAGACTGAAATGTAAATTTCACATTTATTTTTAAAAAATGTCAAATATAGATACTTGACGATTACTATAAGATAACCATCAAGTATGTGTTTTAATATTTGACACTTGTTTCATAATAATCATCAAGTATTTTTTGCCTTTTTGATTTGTCATTTTTTTCAAATAAGCATCAATTATAGGGCATCAACTATTCCCTTGTCTGTAGTAGTGAAATTTGAAAGTCAAACTTATAAATGGATGGAACATCAGTCGAAATTTGATTTTTGGTCATCTCAAAGTTGCTCTGAGGTTTGAATGCAAGCTTGTGATGAGACTTCATGAGGTAAAATTGAATCAGCCAATGCTTCGAGATGGTTTATCTCAACGAGAAGAGATATATCTGTCAAATCAAACTTTAGAGGAATTATTGTCCACTTCCTTTTGACCATTTACTACCTTTGGTACTTTTTATAAGTAATAGTTAATAACAACTTCATGTATTTTAAGGTAATAAGTAGTTGAAATTAGTTATTTCTTGTAAAATTTCAAATTTATTTCCCCTAAAAGTTACTAGTAGAGTTTGTTTAATTAGTTAGGAAGTTTGATTGTTCGTGAGGAATAATTTAGTAAAAAAAAATACTTTAGACAAAATATATTAATTATATTATCAAACATGCATGAGTTTCTTATAATAAGAACCTCTATGATAAGTATGTCACATTATCATTTGATATATATTAAATATATTCTAATTCAAAATGGCAATAGTAACAATATAAATCACACAAACTCTAACATGGGTTGTATCAATGTATGACCTTTTTTTTGGTTAAGGAGAAAAAATGCCTTGAAAGTTTTTTAAAAGATATATTGGGTACTCTTACCTTTTAGTTAGGACAATGTTGCCTTGAAACTTTTAAAAAGAGTGCAATTTCATCCCATGTTACACTATGTAATGTTCAACCATTACATTTTATTTTAACCAAATATTTTACTTGTGTCAACCTCTCTTTCTCTCTATACTATTCTTCTTCCTCCCTTCAGCCCCCTCTCTCTACATTTGACTCTCTCCACATCCACCGACGGTCATCTGTTCCTATTGTTTTGAGTTTGGAAGCCATTGTGTGTCACCTAGTTCTTGAAATTTTACATGATTCTAATATTAAATAAAAATGATAAGAAAATAATAAGATATACACAGATCTTTTAAACCAAAACGGGATAAATAAAAGTGACTATTCATTCATGTGTCATTCTTGCACAACAAGATTGCATAACAAAAAATATTAAGATTTTAGAATCTGAGAGAGATATCGAAAAAGGGAATGAAGGTATGATTACTGATGGTGGCAAAGACGAGTTGAAGGTAGCAATTGTAACAAACTCCTTGTTCCATAGATTCATGAAGGTGAACCATAGCCACAGCCTGTGTGTAAAGTTGCCATACAAATGCCATCGTCAAGCTTATTAGTCCCCAGCTCTTGCATCAAAAAACTAATAATGAACCTTAATGCCCAAAGGAGTAAGTGAAACTGAAGAGGAGGAGATGAGACATGTAGTAAAGATGACATTGTAGGCGTCCCCATAACTAAAGAAGTTCTTGGTGTTATAAGCACAAACCACATTTCCTTTGATTGTGCCATTCTTCTTCTTCGTCTCTCTCTGTGCGCTGCACTTGTGAGAAAGTTTGAGTTTTTATGTGTGTGCATATATGCATTTTTTTCCATATTTTCTCAAGTTATAACTATTGTCAAATGGTGTGCCCCCAGCACTAGCAGCAGGCAAGTCTCCATTTCCTCTTTGACCTCCCTCTTCATCTATTAGCTCCTCAACTGAAGCTCTATTATCATTTTGAGTGGAAGAGTCAGTAAAGTTATGAGCCAAGCTCGATATCTCTGCAGCAAGATACTATTCCTTTAGCATGGTTGGATTCATCTGCCAAGAAGATACCAAACCGTGTCATTGCCTCCATAGAGTTGTCTCATAATGCATCATAAGGTATAACAGTAGAGGCAGGGATAGAGTTAGATGCAAAGAGAGGGAGAGGGAAGGAAGAAGAACAATAGTGTAAAGAGAAGGAGGGGTTGACATGTGAAAAACATATTGTCAAATAGAATTGAATGACCAAACGTTGGACAATGTTAATGGTGGTACTTTTTTTTATTTGGAAACAATATTTCTTGGACTAAAAGGTAAGGACTCAGTGCTCCTTTTAAAATACTTTCAAGATATTTTTATCTTTTAATCCTTTTTTTTTTATTGGTGATAGAAAAAGTATACTTTGTATACAATAGAGACTAATATATTATGGATTAATAATTCAGTTAATGACAATATATATATAACTCAAACTAGAAATATATTATGAACAAGAGAATGAAGGTTAAAATATACTTTGGGTCCTCTAATTTTATAAAGGTTTCAATTCAATTCCTTAATTTTATAAAATATCTTTCTAATTCTTTAACCTTAACACCATTAGTTTTAAATAATTTTTTTATTTGCCAATCATTGTTACTTAAAAAAATTAAATTAAATTTCCTAATATTTGAGAATATTTTATTAATATTTAAAAATTTAACATAAAATTTTTTTATGATGAAACAAATGGTGTTAGGATTAAATAACTAAAAGATACTTTATAAAATTAAAAGACCAAAATAAAACTTTGTGTAAAATTAAAAGTATTAAAGTATACTTTAGCTAATAATGAACTGAAAACACATAAAAAAAATAATCCAAACATATCAATATATATAAGAAAAAATGAAAATAAAATCTCCTGAATTATATAAATAATTATTTTTTATTTAATTATTGCTATTCGCAGAACAAAAATTATTATTCTTTAAGCAAAAGTTATGAATAAGACTTATTATTTTTAATAAAGGTAAACAGCCTTTTCACTTTAAAATTTATTAACACATAAGTTTCTAAGAGCTTCTGTGACATTATGATATTTTTGAATGATCAACTTCTTATTTACATAATTTTGAGGATTTTGTTGTTATTTTCTCTATATAAAAAAACATAAAACGATGTTTTTGTAGTTTCGAAAGTGAAAGTTCAAGCTAAGTTTCCCTTGAGATTTTGGCCAAAAAAAAGTTTCATTTGAAATATTTTTATATTGATTAATTTTCTTACTTAATTAGAAAAAAGTATTGAAATTCTCCTATATATTAGCGACGCCAGCAATATATTCAACAAAATTAGCTGTCCTGCCGACCTAAACGTTCAACAACGAGAGACTATTTTCCAAAGAAAGCAAGCAGGAATATTATTTTGTATTAGTTATTATTGTTTATAATAAAAAGAATATCATCATCATCATCATCATCATCATCATCATCATCATCATCATCATCATCATTATTATTATTAATTGTTGCTTAACCGTTTGGATAGACCAGCCATTGAACTAGTTGATGGACTGATTCATGGTTTAATAGTCAGACAAGGGTTAGACCGAATATAATTAAATTAATTTATTTAAATATTTTAGGGAAGTTTAAATTAATTTTTATTTTTTTAATTTCAAAATTATTGTTGAATTTTTTGAGATGGTGATCACATATTTTTTAAAGGAAACAAGAACTAAATTTGTTTGAAAAGATATGTAAATAAATATTTGGATGAATAAAAATGAAAAAAATGTTTACATATAAAGAAATAAGTCCAAAAAGTTAATTAAAAAAAGATAAAAGGGGTGCATACTGATTTTTATGGTTGGTCATTAAACAATTTTTATAGGAAAATTATAACCAATTAAAATGATATCATATGAAACAAAATATAGATAAATAGCTAGCAGAATGGAGATAAAAGACATGTTCATATATATATATATATATATATATATATTTGAAGAGATGTTATGACTTATGACGGAAATAAAATGATATCATAAAAAAGATATGAAAAAATAAGTATAAGGAAATAACGAAAAAATTGAACAAAGATGAGGGGGGGAAAAAAAGCAGACTTATTAGAAGGATTGACTAGTCTGCATATACATAGAGTGGCGCTTGAATCCATATAATGGAAAGGAGTGACAACAAGTGATTTTGGATGACAATTTGGATGAGTTGTGAGCTGGAGGTATAAAAAATTATAGAAAAGGGGATTTTTTTTAAAAATTTTCTTGTTATTTTCTATTAAAAAACTGAAAATTAGATTATTAAAAGGAAAAAAAAAAGATAAGATATCATATTTATGTGGTGGCGATCGAAGATTCGTGTGTGCCTTATCCTTCTCCATCATTTATGCTCATGTGCTGCCGCCGTCGTCTTCCATTCTTGTTCAATAATGACGTCCGTTTCTTTCCGAGCAACAAGTTGTGAAGATCTCTCTATAAGTATACCATCGTCTTCTTCGTTTTCTTCCAACCTCAAATTGAATCTTTCTTCTTCTTCTGATCTTCTTGTTCGGTTAGTTTCTTGTAATAAGCATCGACGTTTTGTTCATCTTCACATTTCTTCTGGGTCGTCATTGCCTGCTTCAAACTCAGTTCTTAAGTTGGTTGCAGAAGACCTTGATTTAGTTATATTTCAACCATGAGTTCTGGCATTCCAACAGGTAATTAATGAAATTTGATTTTAGTACTAAAATTGTTCGCATTTTTTCCTTGTTTTAATTTTACTCTTGTTTTTATGAATGTTTATGATTAATCAGCGACTTTACTTTAATCAAAATTGAGAATTTTTCATATCCTGTGTGGTAAGAAACTATGAAGAAAATCCATGGAGTAATTAATTTCTAACTTTGAGATTGACCATGATTAACATAAATAATTGATACTCCCTCTATTCAAAAATGTAAGATATTTTTTGAGTACTTGAATGTTAAAAAATGTAAAGTATTTTTAATCTTTTGAGGTGTAATTATTCTTTTTTTTTAAATATCCCTATATATTGATAATAACTTTATATTTATTGTAGAGTGTTTAATAGGAGTAAAAATAAAAAGATAATATTAGTTTAAAACTAGGTAACTGTTTTATTGAGAATGAAATTTAATTAAAAATATTTTAAATTTTTGAAAGGAGGGAGTATATGTTATATGGACTTTCTAGAAATAAATTAATTGTTTAGCTCAGATCAATCTATCTGTTATTAAAGTGAGAAAAATTAAAAAGAGAATTATTGGCCTCATTTTTCTTCATGCGGGGTCATATATAAGCAGAGTCTACCTTTAGATCAAAGCAATATAGTTTATTTATCTCTCATAATTTAAATAACTTGATCATGAATATCATATTTGCATTTTTTCTAACTTTTTTAAATGCACAGTTTTTTATGATTAATTTTACCATACAATTTGTTATCGATTTCATTTAAAAAGAATTATGTTAGTGATTTCTTTTTTTATGCAATGAATTTTTCAATGGTCAATATATATTTTTAAGATGGATTTAAAAAAATTTAGATGCTTCAACCATTTTATATATATATATGTGTGTGTGTGTCTGTGTGTGTGTAAAATATTTATTTGAAATCAGATCATGAAAGGTGGACTTTTTTTTTTTGACAGTACTTTACCCACTTCTTGCTCTAATTAATTACTTGACACGTCAGATATCTCTCGGTATCTACAATTGACAAGAAGATTAATTTAATTACTAATTTGTTTGATTTTTTTTTTACTTTTTTTTTTTTGTATGAACAGCGTATCCCCAAGCAACGTCAACAAATGCGCCAATAGTGACTCCTCCACCAGTTGGTTATCCCACCAATAATGACACTTCACCAAACCCTCAGTCAGCTTCTTTTCAAACCCAGTCCAAGGGTGGTGGCTTTGAGAAAGGATGGTATCATCTCTCTCTCTCTCCTTCCCTCCCCTTACACACACATTCATTTTGATCTTATTTATAATATTAAAAAAATTAATATTTGATCCTTTATTTATAATATATTTTATTATTTTTTAATATTCATTTTTATCTTTTTACCCATGTTAAATGTTAAGAAATTTTATTAAAAATTATCTTTTTATTTTTATCAGAAGTTAAGATGTAAACTTATTAAATTTTAAGATAAAGTTCATCAAATTTAAAACTTAAATTTTTTGATTGTGATAGTATATATACTTTCTGTGGTCCCTATCATCGAACAGTTCATAAAAAGATTATTTGGTTATTAATTATATTTTTAACATCATTTTTATTTAAAGTCATTACTTATTTTATTGACAGTACTATTTAAAAATATTTTATATTTTTTTAAGAGAAGGGAGTAATTGGTAAAATGAAACTAATTAAAATTAAATTATAACAGTTTGCTTTGGCCGCTGATCTAATTATTGTTTGATCACCTTGTATGCAGTCAGTCCTTTTTATGCTGTCTCTATCGTGTCTTATGCTGTGCTCTTGGTGGTGATGGTGGGGAATAATGATTTGCCAACGGTATGTATATTCTTCCGGCATGTGGATCTTATATTTATGCAATACACTATATTATCCATAATTTATTTAATAAAATTATATCAATTCAATTAAATAAAATTTTATATATTATTATTTTTAATAACTTTTTTTTATAATAGAATGACTATTTTTAAAAAAAATAAAATATTTTTTTATTTTTTTATTTTTTTACTATCATTAATATTAAAATTAATTTATATTTAATAGTAATGCTATTTGAATTTTATATTTTTATTTGATGAATTATAAATAATATGGCGCACATTCTCAAAGGGGTAATAAGAATTTGGTCCTCACAAATTAAATTATATTTAATTTTTTGAAAAATAAATTAAAAATATGAATTTAAATAATTATAAATTTAGGAGCTTCAATTATGGATAAAGTACTTAAACTTCAAATATAATTCTCATATTATAAATATAGTTCCTATCTATATATGTTCAACTTAATATTTACAACTCATTTTTTTCAAAAAAAAATTATCAAGACCTAAATTATATCAATTCAACCTTTAAGATATACCTATCATTTTCCTATTATCGTAATATTATACTTCTATGAAAATTATTTCTACACTCAAATTTCATTTATGCCTCCATCAAAAATTCTATCTATTTAAATTTTTTAATTTCCAATGCTTGCACATAAAAAGAGACATTGATTTTATGAATAAATTATATAAAACGTAAAAAAATATAAAAATATATTTGAGCTCCTTCAAAAAAGTATGGTTTATAAGAGACAATCATGAATCTCTAATTCATCAACTAAAATTGTTTTTTACTTCTTTCAATTTATTAATATATTAATACTTTATAATAAAATTGAAAATAAATTTATTTAATTATCTAGGTTAAAAATTTATCAAAAATCATTTGACTACGATATTCTACCATACGAAATAAATCATCAACTTCTTGTTTGACGAACATAAAAGAGTACGATTCTAAATTCCAATACTCATTATATATGACTTTTAATATAAATATTTTTTAGATTTATATAATCTTATTTTCATATATTATTATTATTATTATATTTTTGTATTGTTTCTCTAATATCTAACTCTAAAAGTTTTATTTTCATTCATTTAATAAATATTTATAAATGTATATTTTTAAGAAATTAATATTTTTACTGGCCAGGTGCAAATTTTGTCCCCACTAATTAATTTTTTATCTGCCATTTTTCCCCCAACAATCATGTTATTTGATACATAATACTCATCTAGTCTTATTTATAAGTTACTTCTAATATATTTCACCGGATTCAAGAAAAATCATAAAACTTATTAACTTTATTTAAAAATTTAATAAGTCTTTAACTTTATTCCTATTAAATATATATACTTTTGCAACGTATTTTTTTTGCTCTGACATTTAATGGAGGGTAAAAGAAAAAAATTTATGAGCAAAATTTAATGATGTAACATATAAATAAGATAAAAAAATTCCCCCTCTCTCTTCTTTATAAAAAGGACAATATTTGTTTACCATGCATTTCCGGTATTATATTGCTAATTAATCATAATTTATAAGGTTGAGCATAGACTATAACTAATTATTGCTTTCATCACTGTCACTCCCCACTTGCAGTAAGCTCAGATGCATTGTTGCTGTTGTCTTGTGGAGCAGTTCTCTGGTTGCTGTTGATGTTGTTGATTTTCCAAAAGTTCTGTGAGAACAACTTTGTTGTTGCTTTCATCACCTAGTTATGTATTGTTGTAACTAAAGGTTACCTGCCCATGTCATGCAAGTGTGTAGAAACTGCTGGTCTTAGGGACAAATGAATTAGGCCCGTTACATATTGTTGTGTAGTATGTTTAGGCCTTTTGTATCTGAGCTTATTGTATATTGTGGTTTCCTTGTTATTTCTGTTGCATTGAGGATCATATAAGAGCCCATTTGAATTGTAATTGTGGTATAGATTTTCCAATAATGAGAATGTGAACTATTCCGTATCCTAGGCCCATATTACAGCATGGTATCAAGAGCAGGCTATACATCTTGGCCCTTCATTGAAATTTGATACGATGCATTCCTCCCTTTCTCCCAAAACAAACCCTAATCTTTCTTTATCTTCTTTCTTCTTCACAAGCCGTAACCCTCCTCCATCTCTCCGGTATCTCACATCTGCATTTTGTGCTCATCCTATTGGTAAACATGGAATGCTCATCAGGGGCTTGAGCTCACTTGAGCTCTTGATTTTATTTTCAATTAATTTCTACTATTCATTTTACATGTATTTTTTGATATTTTTAATATTGTATTATTAAAATAAAAATTTTTAAAGTGTGATCGATTGAAATATTAAAAAAAAAACTTATATTCCAAAAGTCTGAACTTGTATAACACCTAATGTATTATAAGGTTCATGGATTTTTAAAATCTTTACAACCTACCAAACAGAATATTCAAACAGCATAAGGAATCTAGCAATTCTTCTTATTCAAATAGTTTAATTCAAGTTGCTATGAACTTTGGAAGAATGTTGTTGTACATGTACCAGCACGGACACGGCCATACTGTTCAGGATCCAGAAACTATAAGTCTCCCCGGATTCTTCTGCATGCTTTTATAACAGAAGAAACTGTGAAACTGTTCTTCCTTATTCCTTGCCTTCCCATCTCCTTGAAGTCATTGAGAACCTCACATAAAAGCATTTCTCTGCAATCATTCACAATTTTAGCTGTCCAAGTGAAAGTGTTGTGTCTAGCTACTTTGTTGAAGGCAATATTTGCGTCTTGTGGGCACTTGAATTTCCCATAGAATCTGATCAATGAGCAAGTTAGAAGTACATCATCACTAATGTCTAACTTGACGAACCACCCATGAACTTGTTTCCCAGATCCAGATTCATGCTGTAGTCACATGCCTTGAGAAGACAAACTATGACCCAATTAGGAAGTTCCAAAATACTCACTCGGTCAAGCATGTTGAGAAACAAACCTATGGCTCCCTCGTAGTCTGCATTATCAAAATAAGCAATAAGGTAGCCCACGAGTTGATATGCCTCACAGACATTTTATCAAACAGGTTGCGATCACACTCCACCAAACCACATGATGCAAACACGAGGAGAAGCCGATTAAGGAAGCCTAAGGGAGGATCAATGCCGCATCGGATGATATGGGCATGTAGCTCCATAGCTGTATGACGGTCCCCAGAAACAGTACACTCTTCTATCAAAGAGACATAGATGTCAATGGGTACAGAGAAGCCAAGACCATCCATCAAGTACAAAACATCAGATGTTGTACTCCGAGCAGGGATAAATTCTTTTTCCTTGGTTTTCTTCTTCCTCAAACACAACCCATTTGAAGGATTAGGTTGGGGACGAAGGAGTTGGACGGATTCTGCTGAAGTTTGAGGCAGATTTTGTGTGGGACGAAGGAGCTGAAGTTGAAGAGCGTGGTTGTTAATGTGAGGAGTGACAAACTCCGTGCAGGGTGATTTTGAAGGAGGAGAAACCATTTTCGAATAGCTTAATTTCTTTGATTTGACGCGGTTGAAATCTTTCGTGTTTCACTTCAACCACAAACCACTATCGAAAAGATTGAATACAAATTAGTAAAAAGAACTAGAAATCTATTACATCATTCAATGAATTATTAGGAAAAGATGGAGTATAAGACAGCGAGTTTACATAGTGCGAGAGATTTGTGAAGGGACTAGTGTCACGGGCTAAGAGTTGGCGCAGCACACGGCGCCCGTGCGGCGTCCTGGAGGACCCCATAATCCTCAGGACAAGCCTTACCACGTACGGATCACACTGGTTTCGCCCTGCCATGGGCTCATCAGGGAGGCGGCACCAGCCCCCGACCAGTTGTGCACACAGTCCGAAGACTGAGGCAGAACACCCCCAATGCTAATGTCGCCCCCTTTACCCATATTGTGCGAGGCTAACCAGCGGACCGTTCATTATCTTGGTCTTTACACGATCACGGAAATATCATCCGTGACACTAGGCTATGGAGAGACGACTGAGAGGGACGAAGACACCCCAAAGCAGCACAAATGACGACTGGAACGAGGGCCGAAAGCAAAAGTCAAAACGGCGACTCACCAGGAACAAAACAAAAAGAACGCGGGCTGGAATATACAGCCCAGACCTCACATGTGCCAACTAACGGGCCAACCTGATAAAAAATACCGAGATGTATGCTTTAAAAAATGAGAGGATTTTAAAAAAATTAATTATTATAAAATTTATTGATAACTGAATTAAGATATTTAACAATACAATCAGTTATTAATGATTTTAGTTCAATTATAAATAAATTTTATAATAATTAATTTTTTTATATGACTTTATGTAACTTTTCCTTAAAAAATTGTTATAGAGCAAAATTACCCAAAAAAAAACTGTTTTTGAGTTAACAATTCATCCTCACTTTTCAATCTATTTGCTTGCATAATTTTCAAATGATTCTTATAATTTTGAATTTATTGTAACTCAATTATTAAATTTTAACTCTTGTAACTTGGTTCTTATAGTGTTAATCATTTAAAATATTGGGTCCTATATTTTAAAAAATAAAATTATAAAAATTATAATTATATCTATTTTTAAAATTAAGGGACCAAATTATAACTTTAGAGGATTAAAAGTATATTTTAGCTCAAAATTATAGAAGACTTAATTTAAAAAACAATTGTGAGTCTTAAAAATTAAAAATCAACATCAAAGTATATTTTAAATATTATTTTAAAAGAAAGTATAGGACTGATAACAAAAAATGATAAAACTATAATAAGGACCAATAATTATGTTTTTTCAAGAATAATTGTTTTAGCTTTATAGATCATGTCGCCTTGGTTGTATGTAGAACCAATAATTCGAGCTAAACCCCAAAAAATGTTAAAGTCAAGCTTCATTATATGGGATTTTTTAAGAGGGTAGAATACTTCAAGACTGATTCGAATAGTTTGGCCCGAATAAGTTCAACTCACCGAAATTACCTTCTCTATTTATATGTTTGGAGGCTGATAATATCAAATCAAAGAAGAAAGAATTCTTCGGTCGACTCTGATTTTTCACATAGCCCTTTAAAATCTTCATATAACACTCAATAGGATACATCTATCTTAAATAAGCAGGCCTACACATTTAAACCTCCCTAACCAAATGAACAGTTAGGTGGATCATAATATCAAAGAATGCTAGTGGAAAATACATCTCAAGCTTATATAGTGTTAATACAATCTGAGCTTGCAACCTTGGCAACTTATGTGGATTAATTACTTTACTGCAAATCAACTTGAAAAAACAAACATAACTTAGTAATCGTCCCTCTTACTTTAGGGGGTAAAATTGCATGTATAGCAACCGGAATGAAATCCTCCATTAAAACATAACAATCGTGAGATTTTAAGCCCTTCAACTTCAGACCTTTCATTGATACAATACTTTTCATGTTTGAAGAGTAGCCCTCAGGAACTTTAACTGCATTAAGGAACTCATAAAATGTAGTTTTCTCTTTCTTAGATAATGTATGAGCTGTCGGAGGGAGAAAGGTACGATTCCTCTTATCTTGGGTGCCAATTCTTCTCCTATTCTTAAAGAAACCATGTCCAACCTTGCCTTTATGCTATTTTTTATTTTTCCTGACACTTGAAGTAAAGTCCCAATAAGACTTTTACAGACATTTTTCTTAATATGCATGATATCAAGAAAATATCGAACATCTAAGGTAGTCCAATAAGGGAGTTCAAAGAAAATAAATATTTTCCTCTTCTTCCATCTACTTGTCCCAAGGTGCCTTATAAATGGTTTGCCGATTTCAATATCCAAATCCTTGATCTTCCTAAAAAGCTCATCGCCAGTTAACAGTAAAGGTATCTTACTTTCTTCTGGATTTCCATTGAGCGCTTTTCTCAACCACCGATAATGATGTTCTTGGTGTAAAAACCTATAGTGCCCAAGGTAAACATTCTTTATCCCATGTTTAAGCCTCATAGAATGTGTTCTCTCTTCATAAATAGGACATCCAAGTTACCCTTTAATGCTATACCCAAACAAATTACCATAAGTAGGAAAGTCTTTAATTTTACTAAAGAGCATAACTCTTAAATTGAATTTTTCTTCTCTATACTCATCATATACCTCTATACTTGACCCTCACATGATCTTCAAGTCATCAATTAGAGGAGCCAAATATATGTTGATGTCATTCCCAAGTTGCTTAGGTCCCATAATTAGCATGAACAACATCATATACTTGCATTTCATGCAAAGCCACGGAGAAAGGTTATAAATCACCAAAATGACTGGCCATGTGCTGTGGCTACTACTTTGAAGTCCATGAGGATTCATCCAGTCGGTAAACAATGCAAGGCATAGATTCCTACTCTCTTCCCTGAATTCAGGGTACTTATAATCAATCTTTCTCCATTATAGAGAATCAGCAGGGTGATAAAATATTCTGTCTTTTATCCTTTCATCCGCATGTCATGTTAAGTTTTTCACAACTTTTGCGCCACTATACATGCGTCTAAATCTAGGCACGATTGGAAAATACCATAATGCCTTCACAAGACTTGATTCATTTTGCTTGTAGTATGAGGTATTACACTTCAGACACTTGATTAATAATACATATTCATTTAGAAATAAAAGGCAATCATTAGGGCACGCATGTATTTTTTCATAACTCATGCCAATTGATTGCTGTACTTGTTTTGTATCATATGTTCGAAAAGGAAGCTCATTTTCCTTAGGAAGTAATTCTACTTTCAAATACCCAAGCAACTTTATGAAGCTCACATCACTCCATCCATATTTTGTCTTCATATTGTACAATTTTAACACTGCTGACAACTTTGATGCACTACAACCAGCATACAATGGTGTCTCTACATCACTTTTCATCTTCTCAAACATTTTCAAATAATCCTTGAAGTCCTTCTCAACTTCTTTGGCCATATGTTCGAGACAATCTTCCTCAAGTATGCATGTGTT